GGGAGGACACGCTGCGACTGGAGCTCACACTGGGACATGATGGTGGCGGGAGGACACGCTGCGATTGGAGCTCACACTGGGACATGATGGTGGCGGGAGGATACCCTGCGACTGGGGCTCACACTGGGACATGATGGTGGCGGGAGGACACGCTGCGACTGGAGCTCACACTGGGACATGATGGTGGCGGGAGGACACGCTGCGACTGGAGCTCACACTGGGACATGATGGTGGCGGGAGGATACCCTGCGACTGGGGCTCACACTGGGACATGATGGTGGCGGGAGGATACCCTGCGACTGGGGCTCACACTGGGACATGATGGTGGCGGGAGGACACGCTGCGACTGGAGCTCACACTGGGACATGATGGTGGCGTGAGGACACGCTGCGACTGGAGCTCACACTGGGACATGATGGTGGCGGGAGGACACGCTGCGACTGGAGCTCACACTGGGACATGATGGTGGCGGGAGGATACTCTGCGACTGGGGCTCACACTGGGACGTGATGGTGGCGGGAGGATACCCTGCGACTGGGGCTTACGCGCACTTTTGCAGAGAGTCTACAGAGCATGAGCCGTTAATGGTCAGCTGCAGGTAAATAAAGTCTTATCGGCCGCCAGAATGTACCGAAACTCCAGCACGCCAATCGAAACAAATGTTTACGGTGACGCCGCGCGAGTGCCGTGACAGCGTCAAACGGCTACCATACGGTCTCGCACTGAGACAGGTCGGCCTCTAGGAGCTACTCACAATATTAAGCATCGTCATGACGTAGTCCAGCACGTTGGATGCGCCGTGGAAGTCAACCATCGTGCTGTCGGCCACGACGACCAGCTCCAGCCATCGGGGTCGCAACGGGGACGGTTCGCTCCGCGCAGAAGGCGGCATGCGGTACGCTGGAAGGCATCAGCCGGCGATGGGATAACCCTTTGGTTACCGCGAGACAATGCATCAGTTTAACACAACGTCTATCCGCACGGAAACCACACATAAACCTATCTATTTTTCACTGATGTGCTTCCCAACGGCTCGCCCTCTGTCTGAGCACTCACCGTCGGATTTGCTGGACGCCGCCGACCTGAACCACTCGTCGCCCACCAGCACGCCTCCGTCGTCGGTCAGCTCGCCGTGCAGCCTGTCCGGACGGCGCACGAGCAGCTGCCGCCGTCGCCGGTGACGCCGCATCGCGCCCGCCACGTCCAGCTGCGTCAACTCGTGGCGGCCCATGGCGCCGCGCACGTCCACGTGCGGCGCTGGCGCCACGGATAAGGTGCGCCCGTGCGTCACCACGAGCCCAGTCACGCCGCGGCACAGCGAGAGCGCCGCCCGGCTACCACGAGAGCCCAGCACGCGGCCGCGGTAGTGGCACGGCCTAGCACGTGCTGACCGGTTGCCGGCGGCCGTCACCCACGTGGCGGGCGGTGCGGGTAGCGCGGGCGCCGCGTGCACGGTCCACGTGCGGTGCCGGGTGTGGAGGCGGATCAGGGCGCGGCCAGACGGCAGCACAGTGATCCGGGGTCGCACGAGAAGACCGGAACAGGCTGCCACCACGCAGCACAACAGCAGGGCACAGCGCGGTGCCATGCTGGGGGTCACGCTGCTAAGAGCTGGCTGGCAATCGGGCACCGCCGGTGGCGGTGACAGGAACACTGGGCACGACCGGAGGCGGGGCGGGTCTGGAACGCTGAGGCACAGCCGGGTGCAGAGGCGGGTGTGGAACACTGCGACAGGGCCGGAGGCGGTGGCGGGCACTGGAACACTGGGGCACGGCGGGTACAGAGGTGGGTGTGGAACGCTGCGGCACGGCCGGAGGCGGCGGCGGGCACTGGAACGCTGGGGCACGGTGGGTGGAGCAAAGCGCCGAACACGACCCACTGGCACGGATAGTTCTTGCCGCGGAGCTCTCAGACGATGTGCTTCAGGAAACGGGGCCACTGTGCACAAGGACTGCGAAACAGGACGAAGCTGCAATGCGAGAGCGCAAAAACGGACTCGGAAGGCACCGATAAGACGCACGCGTGAGCGCTCCTCCGTGCCGTGTGCCGAGCAGGAGTGGCAGCTACGGAATGGAATAAAAGCTCAAGTCTCGCGTGCAGCTGTGACTGATCCGAGCGCACCGCAATCACGACTGCACCTTTTTGTTCTGAAGAAGACGGTGATGAAAACACAGGCCTTACATCGACCAAGCCGCCAAAGTGGCAAAAAGTTCATGTTTACGCATCCATTGGCGTGATCCAACGATCTCAATGTTACACGAAAGAAATGACCGGGTTTTATGCGCCGAGACGACAAGTCGCCTGCGCCACTACCCTGGTGTCACATAGAGCGAACTCTGCGGATATCGAGCTTGCCATTTCCCGTGCTTATTAGTCATCATCGTATGACGCAATTGTTACCATGTGGCTCAGTTCTCACCGCGTGACTCAATTGTTAAATTGTAACTCCGTTGTTATCATATTACACAGTTGTTATCGTGCTACTCAGTTGTTACCGTGTGCCTGTTGTTATCTTGTGACTCAATTGTTACAATGTGACTCAGTCTCAGTTGTTGTGTGACTCAGTTTGACAGTTTGACTCAGTTGTTACTGTGTGGCTTAGTTCTTACGGTGTGACTCAGGTGCTACAGTGTGATTCAGTTGCAACAGTGTGACTCAGTTGTTACGATGTGCCTCGACTGTTAGGTGCGACTCAGTTCTTCACAGTGTAACTCAGTTGTTTACAGTGTGACTCAGGTGTTACAGTGTGACTCAGTTGTTAACGCGTGACTCAGTTGTTACTGTGTGACTCAGTTGTTACGGTATGACTTGCTAGCGGTGTGACTCACTTGTTTACGGTGAGGCTCAGTTGTTTACGGTGAGGCTCAGTTGTCTACGGTGTGGCTCAGTTGTCTACGGTGTGGCTCAGTTGTCTACGGTGTGGCTCAGTTGTTGCGGTGTGACCCAGTTGTCACCGTAAGACTCAGTTGTTACCCTAAGACTCAGTTGTTGCCGTGTAACTTGGCTGTTACAGTGTGACTCAGTTGTTACGGTGTGACTTAATTGTTACGGTATGACTGCGCTGTTGCCGTACACCAGTCAGGCCAAGCCAGGGCAAATGCCAGAATCTGCAGGATGATGCTATGGGCGTCGGAAGTCCTTCCAGGCGATACGGCGCGGCAGCATGCCGCTGTCTGGTCGCACGCGGGCGGAAATCGACTGAGGGAAGGGCTTCACCGGCGGCCGACGACGGCCATCGTGGTCTCCACCTCTCACGAGTCACTGCTACATCAAGAACACCAGGGTCCCGACCTATCCTCGCCCCACCGCGGTGGTCATGGTCCTCACGTGCCCTTCCCTGCTCCACCACGGCGGGTCCTGGTCTCCACATATCCCTGCCCCACCACGGCGGGTCCTGGTCTCCACGCATCCCTGCCCCACCACGGCGGGTCCTGGTCTCCACGTATCCCTGCCCCACCACGGCGGTCCTGGTCTCCACGTATCCCTGCCCCACCACGGCGGTCCTGGTCTCCACGCATCCCTGCCCCACCACGGCGGGTCCTGGTCTCCACGTATCCCTGCCCCACCACGGCGGTCCTGGTCTCCACGTATCCCTGCCCCACCACGGCGGTCCTGGTCTCCACGTATCCCTGCCCCACCACGGCGGTCCTGGTCTCCACGCATCCCTGCCCCACCACGGCGGTCCTGGTCTCCACGTATCCCTGCCCCACCACGGCGGTCCTGGTCTCCACGCATCCCTGCCCCACCACGGCGGTCCTGGTCTCCACGTATCCCTGCCCCACCACGGCGGTCCTGGTCTCCACGCATCCCTGCCCCACCACGGCGGTCCTGGTCTCCACGTATCCCTGCCCCACCACGGCGGCTAGCTCTCACATACCCCCCCCCCCCCCCCCCCCCACACTCCCCTACGATGACCACAGTCCATGAGTACCCCAGCTCCGTCATGGCGACCAAGGTCCTCACGCACCCTTTCCTGCTCTACCACGGCGGTCCTGGTCTCCGCGTACCCCTGCCCCATCGCGCTAGCTTTAGTTCCCACGTCCCCCCACGCTCCCCTACGGCGACCACGGTTCATGCGTACCCCAGCGTTGCCAAGGTTGCCATGGTACGCCACGTACCCTTGCTCCACTACGGCAGCCTGCAACTGCCTTCGTGGAAATAAAAACTCCACTGACGGGCGATGTTTCGTATTAGTACATGGCTGCACGTTCGATGTACGGGTCAATTCAGCACTATTAAAACGTTTCATGCCGCAGGGCGAAAACGCTTCGATTCCTGGAAGATGGGGGGGGGGGGGGGGGTTGCACATAAGGACACGGGCGGAGTTGTAGTTGCAATCACAGATCGCTGCCTGAGGACCTCAAAACGCTTGCTTGCCACTAACAAAAATAATGAAATTTTCTTACCGACGGTAAATGGGCGGGGGCATCGACCACCAAAACTGTAGCGCTTCCGTACCTGGCAGCGCCCAATCCACACAGCCGTTCGTTTAAACACTTCGTCTCACATTCGCTCATGGCACAAACTACATGCAAATGGATGGCACACACCGCCGAATGCCACAAACTGCCCACTGGACGGCCCGCATTGCAAATCATATCACTTGTGCGGGCCACTCCAGAACCTGTCCTCGGCCCAGTTCCAACATGCACATTAGCTGGTAGCGTTCGATCACGAGACCGTTTGTCCGCTCTCTTCAGTCCCTCGTCCCGTGCCCTCCACGACCAAACGTAGCAGCGACAGCATGCCTCCATTCCGCAAGAGATCACTATTGAGCAATCCAATTTAGCACTGACGACGGTGTTGAGCAGTGCTGGGTCCGACACAGCGCGATTTGCAGCCGGCACAGTTCACAAAACTTGAAGTCCGCGACCTAACAGTAGCACGTCTCATTACCGTACTGCTGGCGCCGCACGCATCCGCTCACGTCCCGCGTCCGGTGAGGCGCACCGACCACCGTTCCACCCGTGCCGGGCACATCAGAGGTGCGACAGCTCGCGCTACATGCCCTCGATGACGTCGGCTCTGATGTCGGCCATCGACGTGATGGACACGTCCTCGGTCAGCCCGTCCGACTGCGGCTCAGACGCCAGCGAGTCGGCCGCCGGGTCGATCTCCTCGGAGATGCTGTCCTCGGCGTCGCCGCTGTCCGCCGCGACGGCCGGCTGCGCGGGGGCCGGGCCCAGCGGCGGCAGCTGGGCGCCCCGCAGCGGCGGCAGCGTGCCACGCGCGCCCAGGGGCGGCAGCTCGCCCAGCAGCTGCTCGCGCGGCCGGTCGCCGTTGTCGCGCCGCTGCACCGGCTCCAGCGGCTTCGGCTCCCTGGGCGGCGGGCCGGCGGGCGCGCGGGCCAGGTTTAGCCCCGTGCTCTTCACCCTGGGAAGACTGTCGAAGAAAGAGTCCTCCTCCTCGGAGGCGGTGGCGTCGCCGTTCTGGCTGCCGGCGGCCGAGCGGACCGAGTGCTCCGAGCCGGCCGACTGCCCCGACGCAGCGGAGCGGGCCGAATCGGGAGAGGAGCCGGCTGAGCCGGAGCCAGAGCCAGAGCCAGAGCCGGAGCCGGAGCCGGCGCCGACAGCAGGCGGCGGTCGGTCGGCCAGCAGGGCCGCCAACACCGGCTGGTCGTCGGCCGGCTGCAGGCCGAGCGCTGCCGCCAGCCGCGGCCGCTCCTCGCGCCAGCCGGCCACGCCCTCCAGCTCGGCGTCCAGCACTGAGAGCGTGCAGTCGAGCTGCGCACAGACCAGCAGCTCACGCGCCAGCGCCAGGCAGCGGCGGCCGACGGCGCCAGCCGCCAGCCGCTGCAGCGCCGTGTTCTCAAAGCAGCGAGCCTGGTCGCCGCCCGGCCGGCCCGTCTCATCCAGCGCCAGGAAGACACTGGCGCGCAGCTGGGCGCGAATCTTGGGCAGCACGCCGTTGTTCTCCAGCGCCTCGGCCACCATGTCACGCAGTTCGACCTCGCACTCGTCCTCGGCCATCAGACTACTGCTCATCGTGCCGCGTCGGCACGGCTCGCCTGCGTGCACCGTCCCTGTCACGGGCAGGTCAGCAGCAGACCAGCAGCAGTGTCAGTAGAATGGCAGCTGGAAACATGGAGCTCAAGGTTAGCCTTGTGCATGCAGACCCATGTACATGAGGATACTGTCCAGCTTCTGGCTATGGCTTGTGAAGATGTGGGGAATATGGTGGCAAATGATGTTAAATGCATGTGTGTGAGGGTAACAGGCACACAGCACAAGTAAGAACAAGCAAGGAATGGTAAAATGCACACCTGGCTCAATATCACTACTTTGGCTCACCAATTTTGAAAGCTGCCATAACTACAATACAAATATATGTATGCAGTGGGCTGGTGAAATGTGTTGCTGATAACATTACTGCATCATGGAGAAATATTGCATGCCTAAGTCAAGGCTAATTATCAGCATGCACCCAAATAATGCAATTGTCTAGCCTGGCTGCAGCATGCAAAAGAGAAAAATTCTGCCTTCAAGCTTATCTGGAATGCACAAATAACTGATACATTCTGAAGTTCAAGTCCTATGACATCCTTGCATATGCAATCTGTATACTTCTACTATGTAAGCAGACCCACACTTGAGACTTGAATCAACAGTATTGAAGCTCAGTTTTAGCTATTCACTAATTCAAACACGTGGAAAATACCTGATGCTTTAAAGAATGCACTTACTTTCTCCAGAAATGAACATATCACCAGAAAATTTTGCTAAAGGTTTTAAGGTCCAGGGTTCTAAAACTTGTATGATCAGTGCTTTACCCACAATCTTGTATTGCAAATACATCTGTTGAGTTATATCATGTTTATTCAAATAAAAGTTTAACATGCTGCTTAATTCAGGATCAGAGTAACATCTATCAAGCTAGTTGAATTATTATATGGTATGTGCTATAATGTGAGAAGATCAGACAGTATTAATAGCCTTATTTCTCAATTAACACCAGGAGAATGGAGACATAATAATGGAGTTAAACATGCTGCTTACTTCAGGATCAGAGCAACACCCCTCAAGCCAGTTGAATTATTATGTGGTATGTGTTATAATGTGAGAAGATCAGATGGTAGTAATAGCCTTATTTCTCAATTAACACCAGGAGAATGGAGACATAATGTGTTCACCCATGGATTAAACGAAGAGTTGTAGATGGATCAACTATTTTGCACCTCCATTCTCCTAATTTTTCTGACAAATAATGCTAGTGCTAATGTCTTATGTGTGTGAATGTTCCAGGCCAAGGCACTAAACAACTTGCATAACAATGTGAAAAGGTATCAGGGATATCCAGACACAGCTCCCAACTCTCTCCCAATACAATATGATGCAGGTGTAACCAGCATCCCCACCACAATCTTCCAACTCCAAAACTTGACTAAAAATGCACATATTTTAAGTTGCACTGACATAGTTTTGCATACAAGTTGCAAGTTGCAACTTGAAGCTTAAGTTGCAAGACAATTTGATTGACAGAGCAAGAAAAGGTGGCTTATCAGACAGCATCGAACCAAGCCCACACCCCTCCATGCACTCCAAAACATATTCCTCTCAAAATGGACCAAACTTCTTGTCAAAGTTAAGTGTTGGAGTGGTTGTCATATCGACCTAAAACACACTAGGTATAAGCAAATAGGTTAGAGGCCTCCGACTGATTAAGGAACTGCACCCCTGGGCGCCGATTGTCAACAAAAGAAAACCTGCAATGGTTTATCACCACAAATCTCACACCAATACCCACCACCATGGCCATTGATATGCAGGCCGTAGCACGGGCGGCACACTCGAGCGAAGGCGAACAGTTTGCGCGGAATTTGTATCATTCGAAAATCATGACGTCATTTGTGCTCGCCTACCGAATTAACGTCACTCTCATCCCTGAAAATAGGCATTTAACTGTTGAAGCTAGAATTTCTGTAGTATGCCTGCGATCAAAATTCTGTTTTAATGTGACAGGTTGTCATATTTTCCAACGCCAATATTACTTGATTCTGACATCATGAATTTGACACTGAGGACTCAGATTCGTTCTCTTTGGCAAATGTGTTTGTTAGTATAACATTTTTAAAAGTGATCTTCAAACAATTTTAACCCCATTTCTGTATTCGATCACTATGTTTTGTTCCAAAGCATTAGGAATATCCGTGGCCAAAACTCGCGACAGCTGACGGTGTTTAGCTGAGACCTTGGTGCGGTCAATTCCAGTACCGCTATGTTATGAATGAAAGTGGCTGGCGGCATTTGTGATCGCGTGTGCTTGGGGAGGAGTGGGCGTTACACAGGTGTCCGGGTTTCTGCGATTCCCGTGACCTTTTAGCCCTAAAACTTGGTGTATTTTATGTTTTTCTGTGCTGTGGACCTGAAAATTCAACAATGAATTTTCAATTTGCCCTAGATTCGATTTTTCCCGAAGATTTGATGCTTATTGGTAGAGATCTAACCCCTATGACCATTGATGGAAGCCTGAACGCATCAACACCGTCAGAGTACTACTATAAACACTTCTGCAAGCTGGAGTATGTACCCATTTTTTGTTCTGCATGCACTTACTGTCACATGTTATCATATTTCATGTGAGGTAAAAGTTGTATAAGATTGCATGAATGCCTATAAATCAAATTTTGCATTTGGTTGGTGTCGGTAGTTTTTTCTATCATGACGTGTCAACTATTAGTGCACTGTATGGGTGTCCAGGAGAGGGCCTCTTCCACCTAACTGGGTGGGAGACAGCCAGCCTGCAATGATGTCATCCACTGCACTGAATGCCTGTGTAACATTGGTCCAGTGAGCCTGCTGTGGATGCAGACTTAACAGGGTAGGAAAAAATGATTCTGAGTCTTTTAATTGTGGCTTTGATTTTGTAAGAAGCTTTTGGTTAATGTCCTTGAAATTCCCTTTAAAACTCCATGATTTAATGGAATACTGTCGCCGCAGTGGAATTGTGGGCAACAATGCATGACACTTGTGGGCCCAGTTTAATTGCATTAATACACTGAAAATTGTTGCTGTATATGGCTGCCACACTGGCCATATTTGAGAAAACATGTTTTTCAGTCAGGGGAGAGGGACCATTGGTGTCATATACCTTTTCCATCAGTGCATGCATATCTAAATTATTTATGAGTGGTTCTTAGGCTTATTTCAAGGATTCAGACATATCTGTAAAGAGAACCATTATTTTGCCTAATTCCAGGCAGTCTGTGAAGTTTTGACAGAGGTTTGGAATGGACAGAAGATAGTTATGATTAAAAGTATATGACTGCCATGGTTCTTCTCTTACCATGGTACCAACTCAGAAAGTGGTGCTCGCAGGTATTTTAAGTAAGTATGTAATTAGTGAGCCACGATAGATATGTGAGTGAGGGGTTTGACACTGCCCTGGGAGTGCATGTCAGCTTTGGTCAGCTCTAGCTATACTTGAAAGAAGTTGAGAGCCAAGCCTGGCAGAAGAGTCACAGCTTCCATTCAACATGAATTGGAAGAATGCTATATTTATTCCAACCATACAACAGCTACTCAATGAGATGTAGATGTGGCCAGATGCCTGGTTTGAGGGTTCATAGGTCACAGTCCTCTTCAGACATTCAGTTACATGTGCATTTTGGTCATAATTCAACGCACAGACCATTGCACAGTTACCCGTGGCCTCAGTTACCCTTATCTATCCCTGCCTGTTGAGGTAGTGTATATGGTCCACCATCACATTGCACTAGCACAATGACCTTACTAACTCAGGTGGCAAATTTATTATGGAAGGTATAGCCATTTTGATTTCCACTGAATTCAGGCTTACAATTTTAATGAAAATGGGTGTGCTAAAATTGTTTTAAGTCAGTTATGTTAATGTGTTTCTACAGAGCTGATATTTATCTTGATAAAGGTTGGTGTCCCATGACTTAGCCAGCCTTTCATGAAAAGCGCAATGCATGTGTGTGACAGTGATCCACATGGGCCTCTGGGTTGCACTATTCCTGTCCTGTATGACAGAATAGCATGTTGACATGAAGCTTAAAGGCAAATTTTACTTATTTCATTGACAACTACTTGGATTTTGAAATGATTTCAATTTACTTGCATCGTTAACTACTCAAAAATATATTCTTAATTACACATTCATACATATCCTGGAACTAGGACATGTCCAAATCACTGAAAAAGGAGAAATTCACCTGTTATTTATATTAAGTTCATTGTTATCTCGCGCCCAACATCCGTTGACTCTTAATCGAGGCCCAGATTTTCCCTGTCATCCTGTGCTGGTTCTTAATCTGGGACATAGTTGCCATCGGCCGCCCTAATCCTTATGGCCGCCGCCTGTCATATCAGCTGGGTTCAAACGTTTAGGATTTCGCGGCGAGATTCGCCAGGGGGTGCGTGGTCAAGATCACATTACACCGCTCGTGGAGCCGCTTGGCTCGGGAGGCATGAACTAACCTTGCTCTGCGTCGCGACACTTTGACGTCTGCAGTGCCCCAAATAACCCTTGCACCCAAATGACGGTCGCTGTTATTACTCGCACCCCTGGGAATGCGCGTCACGAGGTCGGTGACGACCGGCCCTTCGGAGCTGCCGGCTGTCTGATTACTACGTCATGAGGGACGTGTTCGTGGAGCACGGCCTCGCCTGGAACAGCCTGCCACCGGCCATTGTGGCCTCCTGCATTGGTGCCGTGTTTATGTCCATGCATGACTAAGCTAACAAAAAGGCAGCGCCTGATTTTATAAGCTTCTATGGCATCCATTGTGCGTTTTCATTATTGTCGCAGGCGCTTTATTAGGCAACATGTTATGCAGTTGCTGGAAGTAAACATGCCATATATATGAAGCGATTTGTATTCGAGATGATCACGATGACGATGGTGAAAAATTGTAACCAAAGGAATTGACGATCATTGGAATGTTGAGTGGCTTAAAATAACCCAGCTGACAGAGACTATCATGAAACAAAAGAACTATCTTCCAGTCCTTGAGTGTTCAAATGGAAGGTTCCGCTGCGTCACAATTTTCCTCCTTTTTTGTTCCAAACCAGCTGCGTACTGGTACTAAAGCTTGCACGTATTGATTTCCGGACTGCTGGCCAGCATCGCTCGATCTTGTTTCACACAGCCACAGTATCAAGTGAACCATCAATATCGTTGCGCCTGTGCGACCCGTCTAGGCGCAGGAAGCTGTTGGTAGTGATGGCGACACGTGACTCACGTGCCTCCATAATCGGGCGAGCCATATGCCTAGTTGCCAGGCTTTATTGCCTCGAGATATTGGCAACTGTGCGTCTCAAAACACAGTTTCGAAGTTACCAGCGAAAACTGCGGTGCGAAAAAGTCCACATTGCATTTCATCTGCCACCTTGCATTTTCATAAGTCTTATTTTATTTGGTGCCATGGAGGTTTGATGTGCGCAGTGTGGTACCAGACACAGGATTTTGTGTGGATGCTGGGAATTTTTGATCCATGACTGGGCGCGGTCGGTTCGGCGCGTTACGCCTCTTGACGTTAGAAGCAGTGTTGGAAATTCTAAAAAAATCCTTGTAGTGTAGTACAAATTTGTTATAGTGCAGTACAAAGTTATCCAAGTGCTGCGAGTCATTATAGTTTTGTTAAAGCTATCTTTGAAAGAAAACTCTACAATTGGTGGGACTCAACGAAAGTGCCACTTTTCACATACAGAAGTTCATGTAAAAACACTTGAAATGAAAGGAAGCATCAGTATTAAACATGGCACACTGAAACAACACAATCTCATACTCTTTACCATGAAACACATGTGCATATACGTAGGTTTGCAATTTATGAAAGGCTTTGTGTACACACCCCGCAAAACAGGTTAATTACGCATTGGGCTTATACACTCCAAAGCGGCGGGTGGCTGCACACCGGGCATATCCACCCTTTAAAATGGAGGGTGGGTAGGATACGCACAGCCAGAGAAAAATGGTACACAAAAAATGCAAATGAACGTGCCACAGACGGCCACCTACTCATGCTCTTCGACGATCACGCTACTCACGCTCCACCACCGTCACGCTATTCACGCTCCGCCAGCTAACTGGTTTTAAAAACGGCTAAACATTCATGCCCCCCGCCTTCCAGCTCCCGGTCAACACACGAGGCATTGCACGGCCCACCCGAACAATAGAGACAGGCAGCACTCTTAACCGATTTACCGAACCAGCGCAAGTACAATGTCTGACAGACCCGTGCAGGCCGGCCAAAGGGGATCGGAGTCAGTCACTCCGCTGACTCCGGCGGATAATGCAATGCAGTAATGAATTTTGATGCGCTTTAGCCGATATCATTGCGAAGTATGAGGTTCATGTTACTCTGGTGTCATTGTGTTTTTGCCGGAGCGAGATGGCTGCCTCCGAACAGACTTAAAAGGGATTTTTGTAAAGCCTGAATTACCGGCCTTAATTTCACACCCTTAAGTAACAAATTTAACTTCGTTTAACCCACAGCTGCCGTAACATTTTTTGTACTCCGGGTACCAGGAAGTGGCCAAAAATCCAACCACATAGCGATTCTGGATGAGTACAAACAAGCCCTTCTTCATGATCGTGATGCCCATCTCTATACAGCTTCCGTCCAAATGTTTACAAATCTGTTCAAGGCATGAGCGTGAGCAGAATATATATGCTCTTGACAAATCAGTCACGAGCAGGCGAATCATTCAAACCAATTGGAGAGTCTTGCCATGTTCAACCTCCAACCTGAGCTGGGAGGCGGGCGCAAGCCGCTGAATAGTTGAGACGTCTCCGACGCAGAATTGTGAGTGATTCTCTTATTTGCATTGCCATGACACAGTGGTGTTGCGTGAGTAGGCGGCCGTCTGTGGTAGGGGATTGGGCTGCGGTTTATGACTGTTCGTTGCATTCTTGGCAATTAATGCGGTTCGTCGTCAATGGTCTGTTAAGTCATGTTCAAGTTTGAGTTGGTCTGCGAATATAGGAAGTGGGAGCTTTGCTAATCTACAGACTGGTGCGATTCTCGTACTCCTCCCTCATTTCCCGGTATTGTTCAAAGGCGATTCCATTCAACATTCACACACCTTATTTTTCACATTTCCATACATGGTTTACCATATACCTAGGTGGCAACACAGGCTGCTTGCTATTGGGCATCTTGGTCTGATGGGTGCAAGATTTGTGCTCTTGCAGATATCAATACATGGCTCCTGATGGGAGCAGCAAATCTCAAGCTGTTGCACCTTCTGGTTTTATTCTGTCCTGACTCAAAGCGGTAAAATGAGTTTTTCCAAAAGCTGTTGTTGTTGCATCATAATGGATTACAAAATCTTTCATTTTACCTAGTCACAATCCTGGAGTACAAAATCTCCTGTTATACATTATACCAGGTTCTCGCACCTTATACCAGGTTATGCGTCAAGTTCTCTAACACTGGCTAGAAGTGAGGAAAATATTGACATTTTTCATCGCAGGGACGAGCGCTTTATCTGAAAGTGAGGCTACACTATAGCGTTGTTTTTGCGTGTACAAAACGACATTCAGCTTTAGCAGTCATCTTTTATTTCGTTAGAATATAGAATCCCGTGGGGGTCGGACTGTCGGCCTCCTTCTAAACGTTGCGGTCCAGGACGGATGTCAGGTAGCTGACCGTCGTCTCTCTGTCTCCGTCGCAGTCCGTCCAGTCGCATGGCGCTGGGCGAGGTGCTGGACCTGATGGGCGGCGCCTCGGCGCGCGCGCAGGGCCTCCAGCAGGTCATCACCACCATGGAGAAGCTGCGCACGTCCGAGAACCACATCGTCTACATCATCACTCAGAAGCACGCAGACAGGTAAGCCGCGCCGCGCCGAGGTCTCCCACTCGTCACTGGTGACGTCAGGGAGCCGGCGCGCCGCAGCCGCCGGTTGACCCCTCGTGTGGCATGTGACGTAATGCGTCCGGGGAGCCGCGGGAGAAAGGCGCCGCTGGGAGACGGAGACGGGTTGACGGGCGCCAGCCGCGGCCAAACGGACGGCAACGGTCGGCGCGCACGAGCCTGGGTCGGCAGCTAGCGGTCACAGCGCCGCGCCGACGGGCCGTGACCCGCGCCGCCGCCGGCCGGGGCTCTCACGCCCCTCCGCCGAGCGGCGCCCCGCCGACGGCCGCGGCGCGCGTGCCCTTGACCGGGGCGCGCGTGCTCGACCACCGTGCGCGCCGCCCCGCTCCCGCAGCCAATTACAGGGATGTTACGGCGCCGGGATACGACGTTTGGAGGCCAATGGCGGCCGACGCCGCGCTGACGGGCTCATGAACGCAACTGGGCTGTGCTCGGGCCGAGCGTCGAAGTGCTTTACGATGCTGGCTCGGGGCAAATCAGTTTAGTGGTCTGTGCGGTGCGGGAGGTCATATGTGTGTGTGTGATGAAACCTGCGCGTGAGACCAGCTGGGGCGTATGTGGGAAGAAGCGTTCGCAATGTTCGTTTGAGCCCAGTAGGTTATGCGCCCTAATCCACACTAACGTTCGCAACGTATTTTTCGTCGAGACACACTAACTGAGGTGTGATCGTCGCTGGTACTTCAGATGAGAAACTCTCTTGCCCGCGTCCTCACAGCTGCCTTTTGGGGTGTGAGATCTCCAAGCCGAGGCTGCCCGACGGAACAACAGTCCCTTACGAACGTGCTCACTGATTTTGATTACCAGAGTAATTCGCCCATATGCTGCGATATCCGACAGGCCTGTTAATAATAAGTCGGTGGGAGCAGTGTTCCAACACTTAAACCTTTCATTTGGGTCGCTCTCAAATAAGAACTCAATAGCTCCGCATGCTGGTTTGTGCTAACCAGTGGTCATTGGCCACTTCCGTGTCTGGCTGATGGGCCTGAGCGGTGAGACTGGTTTGCCCTTGTGGGGTCAGTGGGAGGTCGTGTGGCGTGCGCTGCAGTACGTCGGCCCAGCCAGTTGCGGCTACCCACACATCCCTGGGGGGCGTGAAAGTGACTGGTTCACCGCACGTCGTGAATGGCGGTCGGTAGCTGGGGACGCAGACTGCCCGAGGAATGTCAACGTGACTTTGGTGATCGGTATCTCCTGCGGCAGTCCTTGCATACATTGTATAGCAGACCACACCTCACGCCATGTGAACAGTGTGTGCAGTGCATGGCAATATGCATGATTGGCAAGTTTTTCACTGGATGCTTGGCTTTAACACGCGCTCGGGTGAGAGGGGTCAAATGGACCCCCCGGAGGTTTTTCCCGAATGGTTTCCGATCGGCGCGGCATAGCGTCGCCAAATTTTGCATAGCCGTAGAAAATTGAATAGCGCATCGTCCTGGAATCAAAAATTTAGATGTACCGTGTAAGGTCGCTGACCTATGGTAGGTCAAAGTCGGACCATGATTTCAGCGAATCAGTTTCTAGGGAATCGTTCAGTCTGATCGAACAACGGAGTGTTAAACGAAGCCGTACATCTATGAGATGCTTTCTTAAGCGACACAACAATTGAATGAGCAAATAACGTTGACCTGAGCTCAGATATGAAGGCCA